AAGCCAGGGTGGGAAGATTGTCTGAGGCCAGGAGTTTGAGCCAGCCTGGGCAACATGGCGAAACCCCCTCTCTACAAAAAATACGAAAGTTAGCCATGCATTGGGGAGGCTGAGGCAGGAGGAACGCTTGAGCCCAGGAGGCAGAGGTTGCAGTGAGCCAAGATGGCGCCACTGCACTCCAGCCTGGGAGACAGAGTGAGACCCTGTCTTCACCAGAAAGAAAGAAAAAAAAAAAAGTAGGAAGGGGCTCACCAGGGTGGCTCACACCTCTAATCTCAGCACTTTGGGAGGCCAAGGCAAGAGGACTGCTTGAGGCCAGGAGTTCATAACCATCCTGGGCAACACAGTGAGACCCCATCTGTAGAAATACATAAATAAATAAATTAATTTAATGTAAGAGGGGAGGAAACATGGAATAAAAAAGGTATTCCAAGTGTCCACTCAGCCAGGAAGCAGGAAGAAGCCTTCGCTATCCTTTCCAAATCCCTTTAACGTTGCAGGGAGCCAGGTTCCTTGACTTTGTTCTGACTGTCCTCTCCCTTATGTTACCTTATCAACAATCTTTCTCAGGGCCTTGAGGGTGGCATTACTTTCCAAGGTGAGTTTGACTAAGTTCTTCTGGGATGCTGCCCGGGCCTGAGTCCTTTGGGCCTTAAGTTTTCGCAGTTGTACAAGGACCAATTCCTTGTCGTTACGGATATACCGGTTCTCATCTTCACTCTCACGGCTGTGTATCATGATCTTGCCTTTTGAAATAGTTATGGCATCCTAGAGGAACAAATTAGGGGAAACACTTGGCCAAATGAGGGTCTTCAGTGAGACAGGTAAAAGGGCTGCCTGGGGACTGAAATCAGAGCATATCATCTTTTCCCAACCAATCAGTGATGAGGCCCAGGGGAAACGAGGGGAAGCAGAAGAGGGGATAATAGAGCAGTTAGAGCAGTGAGTATTTCACTGTAACTCACAGGTTAGTGAGTATACACTAACCTGTAGTTTCTGTATTTTTTTCATCTGTACTTCAATCTCTTTGGAGCTCTTCTCATCCTTCACCTGCAGGGTCTCAAAGGCAGCCTTTCGATCCTCTGTGGCATCAGTGTAATTCTTGAGTACATCCTGAAACTTTCTCCACAGATCTTCTACTATGTTCTCCAGGTGCAGCCTTAGAAAGTGCTTCTCTTCTAAATTCTAGCAAGTGACCCCAAAATAGCAAATGTTTAGAATTACCTCATTAGTGCCCTTTCACTTCCACCAGCAACCTCACCCTCTTGAACTGTTTGTAGCATAGTTTAGTACAGAGGTCTTCAATGAAAATGCCTACATAAGACCAGGCAGATGATATAAATAAGTTTTGTGGGCCGGGTGGGGCCTGTGGTGAACTGGAGAGGAAATGCTGCATTTGGGAGGAGGAGGGGCAGCCACTGAGCTCCACATGAGCCTTGCCATTTGGAAATGTGGCCCAGTGTTGCCAGATCTTTAAATTTTTCAAGGGAAGCTGAAAATTTGGATGTTTTTATGAAATCTCCAATTTTCAAGTGTAAGATGCTTATTCAAAAAATTTTATAAAACACTATGGGATAAATAAAAACAAAGAACTCCATACCCAAACCTAGGTCTGTGGGCTGGCTAAGTTTGCAACCTCAAGGACAACGGAAAGCACTTTGGATCAAGGGGCAGGAGACCTAGATTCTCCTGGTTCTACCACAGACCAGCAGCATGACTTTGGCAGGTCATTTTACCTATTGGGCCTTACTTTCTTCATCTGAAAATCACAGGGGTGAAGCCAGATGATCTCCTTGGTGCTTTTTAGCTCTAAAATGCATTCCCTTGACATTTTAGAATGGTCCTCCCTCCCAACCAATATTCACAAAATTACAAAAAGCAGTAGGGATACCTACAGTGGCAATAGATATTTTATTCACTGTGTTGGCTAAAGGGGTCTCTTCTACCTCTAGTAGCCTTGAGCATTTTAATTTTTTAATTTTTTAATTTTTTTGAGAGAGGGTCTCGCTCTGTCACCCAGGCTGGAGGGCAGTGTTGCTATCACAGTTCACTACAGCCTCCGGCTTCTGGGCTCAAGCGATCATCCTACCTCAGCCTCCTAAGTAGCTTGGACCATAGGCACACACTACCACGCCTGGCTCTTTTTTTTTTTTTTTT